TCTCCGTTGCTAACGTCACGTAAGGAGCATAGCTTTGGGAGGCAGTTCTATGATTGTGTCAGGGGTGTTTCAGCTCGTTGTGGTTTCTTCCGATTGGCTGATAATCCCACATATTACACTGACAGTAGTCATGTCAGCAGTCATGTAAATCCGATGTTTTCTCAGGCTGACAGTGCAGTTGACGATCGACGTTGAGGACCGACGTAGCTAGAGTCTGAAGTTAAATATTTTAATATTTCTCCTTATTGTTGTACCTGTATTTGTACTTTTTTTAGTTCTTCTGATACTCGTTAGAGTGTGAGAACTATATGGTTTCTTTTAGAACATTCCTGTCATTATCGTATGTTTCTGCACTATATACTTCTTTTCTACCAACAAGCTATTCTAAATAAGTTGCCCTAAACAATTTTATCAGACAGGGGCAGGAATGTCATTTAACCACCAATAAGTAAGTTTGAATAAGCTAGATTATTCTGATAATTTGCAGATTATCAAAATAATCGACTTATCAACAGATTATAAATAATCCACAGCTGCGCTAAACAGAGTCTTAAGCCAAGGATTCAACAACAACCAAAGAGTCAATCTATTGTAGCTTGTTTTAGGCTCTCAAATTATAATCTGAGTGTTTTCTTTCTGGACTCGTCAGAGTCCCCGAATATTTACTGAATTTCGTCAGGAACGTGTTTAGCTTCTGAACCCGCCTTTGCGAGCTCTTTGGTGGAAGTGTCTCTCAGAAGTGTTTTTTCTAGTTATTGTTTGTCTTCTTATTAATGATATGATCCACGTTCACCATATCTTTTAGGATGTTGAACCCAAATCTATCTTTTAACACTTGAATTTCGTCAGGAACGTGTTTAGCTTCTGAACTCGCCTTTGCGAGCTCTTTGCTGGAAGTGTCTCTCAGAAGTGTTTTTTCTATTTATTGCTTGTTTTCTTATTAATGATATGATCCACGTTCACCATATTTTTTAGGATGTTGAACCCAAATCTATCTTTTAACACGTGCCCAGGAAATAAAGTGCAAAATCTGAGGGAAGGAGAAAAGAGATTTAGAGAAAGAGAAAAAGAATTGTTCCGTGTGGGGGGCAAAAGGGGTGGTCCGGGGGCACTTTGACCTCTTTTATTCCACACAACTTGAAAGGTACAAGCGAGGAAACGGGGGTTGAGAGAGAGCTTATGGGACCCTTCTTTACATATAGAAGTCCTCTTTTTACAGAGAGAGAAAGAGGGAAAAAATATTACATTTATGCCTCTGTATTAAGATAGTTGTGAGGGGTATCATGGTCCATTTCCTGCTTAGATTTGTCTCCCTGGAACGTCCTCGTTGCTAGATTCACTGGCATCAAGTGGCCGGTCCAAGATGGTCTGCCCTTTGGTGGTCGGCCTTTGATGGTCGGCCCTTAGTGGTCGACACTTTGGCGGTTGGCTTTCGGTGGTCATTCCTTGGTGGTCATTTTGATGGGTGGTCGGCCAAAATAGCCGGCCAGTTCTAGCTTTCCTCTGTCCCACAAAAACAAAGGTTGAAACCCTTCTTTGTGTTGTGTTCACAGGCGGCGACGATCATTTCGCCACTGCCAGATTTGTCAAGATCCAAGTGGATATTTTTTGGCCATAAAGTGGAAAACATAAAGATTAGTGGTTTATCCAATGATCCCGAGATTGCCAAAAATGCTTCCACAAGAATATATTGGAATTTATTTAGTCCCCAAAAATATTCCATCTATCCTATATCTAGCTTCGGAATACAACAACACAGAAACAGTCAATGCATGAAGGCCAGAGAAAAAATTCCTACGAACAAAATCGGGCATTGAAATGAAATTGGCTTTTCAGCCTCTTGAACTTATTAAGAAAAAAAAAGCTGTTTAACAGAATTCAGACCTCAAAATTGAGGGCAAGACCATCGCGGATCAAGCATTCGGCATCCTCGATTTCGCCCTCATCAAGCTTAGCTTCAATCTCCGACGCATTCACCGATCGGCCATTTGCAGACAACTCCCGCAACTGCATCGGCATCTCAATCGCCCCCTCTCCTTCCCCCTCGTCAACCCCCATTAGCTAGTCTCCCCCTCTGCAGCCTTCACATCCCCTTAACCGCATCCGATCAAACAGGATGCCGAAACGAATTGGAGGCGGGGAGATCAAACGAATAGCGGATGGAATAGGATCGAGGCTGATGAATAGGGAGCTTCTGCGGCTCGTTGCGGCGGAGATGCGAGTGTTGGATTTAATAGGAACAAGTTTGGTGGGGAGGAAAAGGGCGAGATCGCACATCGCGGGGACGAAGAAGTCGTGCAACGAAGGTTCCCTGTGTTTTTTTGCGTTTATTTTGTGTGTGGTGTTATAAATTAGACATTTGGCGTTTGGGCTTAAGATGCCACTCCTTACATTTCTTGCGTTGAAAAAATTTTTCGACTTTTTTTATAAATATTTTTAAATAAATACAGAATAGTTAAATGCTTTTATTTTAAAATATAAAAAATATATATAATTGAACAACAATAATCATTTATCCCACTAAGTGGGGCCGGCTATATGAAAACTTTTTCTTAGTTGGGTACTACTACTGAGTGTTATATTTTCATTTAATTATTATAGATTAAGTTCATTTTTTATACAATATGTCAAAGTCTTATTAGATCTACCTGTGTTTTTCTTAATGTTGGATCCTAAATTGTGTTGTGGTTCATGTCCAAAGAATAGAGTGTCGATCAAATGAAGGAAAGAAGATTGAAGCAATAGTGATAGTTTTTGGAAATTTTCTTCAAACCCCTCTCCTTGAGAATGATCTTTCTATTTATATTTCTTTGGTAAGCGCTCCCAAATTACATGAGTTTTCCCTATTTAATGGGAACGTTACTACACATTACAATCCTATAATACATTAAATATTTATTACTGAATAACATTTATTCTGACCTCATAGTTGCTCTTAGCGTCGTTATATTCTTGTAACTGCTTTAAACACTGCTTCATATTTGTAACTGCCTAATTTAATTGATTGGAATTCATTCGGTCGGCCAATGTTCATTCGACCGACCAAGGTCCTTCGGTCGGCTTAAGAATCGTCAATTGCCCATTATGCGGAGATCGAATATGAAGACATATCGTCATTGGGTAAGATTATTTCTTTAGACAGAGAGTAGATCAGCGTAATCCAACAAGCATCATACTTTTCGTCCATCTGTCTATACTAAAGAACCTTATCCTGAGCAACTGTTGATTTTCATGATGACAGTTACTAGGACGTAGGTGCTGACGAACTTTTGCAGTATTTGTTTGGTCGCTTATTTTCCTCTTTCGATCATCCTACTAGACCGACCGATCATATGGTAAACAATCTGTGCCTTCTATGTCTCAATCATTTCTCATCAAGATTCATGAAAGCACGTTCCTGATATACATAATTAGTTTCTCAATTCTTTTACTTATTTGAAAGTGACAACTACAATAAAAATAAGATAATTAAAAAACATGATTGTTTATAAATTATACTTGCTTTATTTCCATACCACTTCTTCCTATAAATAGGATGTTAAGAGTCTTTTTCATTTTTCTCATTTTCTGCATCTTCTTGCGAGTCAGTTAATTAGGCAAACGGATATGTCAGGTGCCAAAAAGCCAATGAGGAAGTCTTACTGAAGGCTTTTGGACTTTCTACTTCTAGAATCCGCCTCGCAAGAGACAAAAGAAAAAAGAATTTGGCAGTTCCCTTCTGAGAAAGGTGGGGGGAGAAGTTCAACCAATTGAGAAGAGAAAAGGGGATGCGAGAAGGATGATCAAAAGAAAAAGACCGACCAAATCTATAAAACCAGCTAAACAACCCACCGCAAAACTGCTTCGCATGGAAGATGTTGGTGAATCGTCAGACTCAACACCACTTCTGGCAAAGAGATGGAAGGGAGGAATGGTATTGGACCCTGCACTGCTCCATCAATGTTTGGCCCAACTACCCTCTCCACAAGGGGAACCCTCGGGGACAGTTATACATATCTCACCCTCGAACTTTACTTTGCTTCGTCCACAAGCCAAGAATACCACTTAAGGTGATGCTCCTCCTAGGTTTGAGGGAAATGACATGATGTGAATTTACGTTATTTTCCTGGTTGAAACACTATGTTTTTTCCTAATTAGTATGATTTATGCTTGTGAAAGGTATTTTTGGTGCTTTTGTGCAGGTTATATGGGTTGAATAAGCTTTGAGGAGCCAAAATGCAAAGCAAAAAAATTTACTTGACTTGCATAATTACGCCACTATGTGGTATAATTATGTTAGTCTCTCAATGTCCCCAACAAAACTATGTCAGGACAAGGCATAACTACATTGGATTGCGGCATAACTATGTTGGGCACAGACGTAGGTACCCAAACGTTTTGTTTGGCAACTTCTTCAAGGGAATTTTTGGCAAGAGAAATATGATAAGATGCATCAGGACGCTCTAGAGGAGCTTGCAAGCACCTTGGAGGCTTCTTTACATAAGAGTTAAGTTTTTTACTTCAAAACTTAAGTACTTATTCCTTCCTTTGTGGGGAGAAACTCCTAGGGCCACTTTTCCTTCAAGTGTAGAGAGGTTGTGTTTGATAGAGAGATTGAGGGTCGTTGTGTGAGGGAGATTATGGAGAGATTTTTATTGTAAGGTGAGGACTTGGTGTATTGACAATAATATTTAGTTTTATTGAAAGTTTTTCAATTTCTCACAACTATATTTTTAATGTTTTCAATGAAATCTTACATGTTGTTCTACCTCATGCCTCATAACTAATCTTCCTTATTGCTCTTTTTTGGTAAGGATATGATTTTTCTCATTATTTTTACTTTGAGTTTTTCCACACAAATATTTTTCGTGTCTTTGATTTTCATAATTTGATGTGTTACTTTTTAATTGTCGTTTACAACTGGTCTGAAAGATTAGGAAGTTAAAACCCCTCGTGATCTCAGATTTCTAACCGTTGACTAGAAGAACGAGCTAATTAATACATAAAAGTTTAATAGAACAGACACATTACCATTAGGAAATTGCAACCAAGAAAGAGGATATGACGAATCATAAGAAACACTGCCCGATTAAGTCCCTCTTAAATTTAGTATGATTTTCAACTCTTTTTATGACCTAGACACAGACTAAAGAGGAGTTTATTTATGGTTGTCAACTATCATATCAAATAATTTATAGGAAAATCATCTAGAAAACACTATACTGGTGTCTTATAAGCATGGACCTCATAACTTATAAAGAACTCAAATTTTCTCCCTGTCTATTCTTCCACTATCATTTTTGTTTACTACTATGCCTATTTATTTATTTTTGTTTAGAATTGTTAGGATTTTCAACCTTGTAACTCAAATCACTTGCAACTATATTGAGTGGTTTAATACACTAGAACTTCCCAAATTAGAAATATTTTTATAATTATCCTTGGGGGATCGATATACATGCTCTTCAACCATATATTACTGGATCAATACATATAATTTCATGGTTGACGCATTGCTTTGCAATAACTTCAAGCATCAACTATATCAATCTAAGGATGCATGAGTTGATGATGGGTGGTAGGAGCAATCTGGAGGATGATGGGCGATGATGTCAGTGATATGCAGGGTTGGTGGTAGGAGCAATCTGGTGGATGATGGGCGATGATGTCAGTGATATGCAGGGTTAGTATTTTTTTTTTCCAAAATTTGGATCTTTTTTGTTGATTTTGAACCTAAAAAAAAAGCTAAAAAAGGAGAGAAAATTAGAGTCTCCTAGCTTGTTATTGTGCAATCAATGGAGCTCCCTAAGGCAGAGGTCGACAACAATGACTAGAGGAGGAGATTGAAGTGGAGGAGATTGAATGCGGGGTCAGTAGCTAGAGGTGGAAGCTATTACAATAGTCGGTGATGAAGGCTGTTGGCAGAGTCTGGCAATGGGGACTAAATAAATTGACAATGGGTCGCAGACCAGGCGATAGTTGATGGTCTCATACCTATTAGGTTGGTTGACAGGTAGACAATGCACGCCTAAGTGGGCCCCAGTTATGTCAAATATTCATGCTAGAAAGTTGTAAGTGGGCGACAAATTGAGCTGAAGCTTGGAAAATTTGATTAGGTTGTGTGAACCTATGTGAGATTACGTGAAAGATCGCCGATCCACTTCATACATTGAGACACAAGAACCAAGTGGAGACACATGAACCACACATAAGCATGCAAATTAATCTATTTTGCCTTCCGATTTCACAATTCAGATGGCTTTGGTTGGCTACTAGATAACACATATTCAAACAATTTTGGAGATTTTATTGGCCTTTGACCCTATTAAACGGCCAAAAAGAGTAGAAAAAATTGGAGTCTCCCTGCTTGTTGTTGTCCACTCATTGAAGCTCTCTCAGCCTGCTAATTAGAGTCACCCCACCAATTTTTATGTGATCAACAGAGCTTCCTTGGCCTACTAACTGGAGTCTCTCACCTTGATTTTGTATGACCAATGAAGTTCCCTCTGCTTAATAACTACAGTCTCACAATCTGTTGTTATGCAATTAGCAGAGCTCTCTAAGTCCACTTCAAAGTCACAACATCTATTTTGATGTGACAAATGTAGCTCTCTGGGCCTACTAATTGGGGTCTTTTTTCCTTTTTGTGCCATATTTTAATTCTATTCGTGCACTTTATATAAGATATTTTCTATGTTGATGTTGTGCTTTTATAAAAGATATTTTCTGTGTTGATGTTTCTCTTTATGGAGGAGATTGCATAGCTGGTGCTTTTTTAAGGAAATTTTTTATGTTGCTGGTGTGATTTTTGGAGGAGATTTTTTGCACTACTGGTGCGCCCTCTGTAGGGGATTATTTGCACTGCTGGTGCGCTTTCTGGAGGATATTTTCTACAATACTGGTGCATTTTTTGGAGAAGACATTTTATGTTGCTGGTATATTTATTTGGAGGGAATTTTCCTCTGTTTTGTTGTGATGTACCTAACCTTAAGGGCATCTATTTTATCTAGGAGCCAAATGATTTCTCTTTTAGATCGAAAAGCAGAGAAGCTGAAAGTTGCATGTAGGAGTGTAGTTTTAAAGATGAGGAGGATGTTAAAATGGATTGTTGTTTTATGTTTGTATGTATGTACTAGTGACTTTTTCTTAGCAATTTTATGATGGTGTATCAGTTTTTATTCATATTGTCTCTAGATGTAGCAAGAAAGGTTTGATGTCACTTTTGAGGTTATCTTTGCCCTTCCTTCTGATATGTGGTTGATCCTCTTTTGGGATGCTTTTGCTCAAATTATGAGATATTGTATCCCAAATTCTAGGTTGTTTTCACCTAACATTTGGGTTATTGTTGATCAATTTCTAGGGCATCAT